TATATATATATATATATATATATATATATATTTATATTTTTTTTCTTCCTACCAAACAACTAAAAAATATCGCATTTTCTGTTTTCTTTCTTTTCTTTTATCTCATTTCTTTTCACTTTTTTTTTACTAACCAAACAAAGCACTGTAGTTTAATTCGTGGAATTTACTATCAAACATTGTTAATTTGAGAAAGTTAGGGCTCAAGTTGATTCGTTTACACCTTCTGTGTTGGAGGAATATTGATTATGATACACTGTTTTTTTTGTTTGAGTTCCATTGTACAAAATAATACATGTGGAAAAGGGAAATGATAGTTGTACAGTAAATTTTGCAATTAAGAGAAGGAAAGAGAAAAGTTTGATGTATTAAATAAATAATAAGATGGGTAGAGATAGAAAAAAATGATATTATGTAAATTATTGTGTGAATTATAATACTTCTACATGTATAATCACTCTATAGAAAACCCTCGGAAGCATTATTGACCCATTTGTTTTGTTAATAGTTTCTATCTAAAAGGCTTTTGAACAGAGCGTTTGTTTTCGGACTAAATATTGAATTGCTGCTAAATTTTAAGGGCTAGTGGATCATTGTTATGCACTGTATTTTTTAGGCTGGTGATAAACACACCTCCATTTTTATATAAATACACCTCCTTTTTTTTTTTTAAATATATGAAATTCCTAAATTATCCTTGTTTGTACCTCTTTTCTTCTTTTTCCTCTATGCACCTCTCTTCTTTTTTTTTTCCTCCGCACGCACACCTCTCTTCTTCCTCCTCCTCCGCGCACCTCTGTTTTTCTTCCTCCTCCGCACGCACACCTCTCTTCTTGTTTCTCCTCCGCACGCGCACCTCCCTTCTTGTTTCCGCACCTCCCTTCTTCTCTTCTTCTCTTCTTCGTCACTTTCTTCTCCAAACCATTAGAACTTGTTTTCTGCAGTTTGCTTCTCGTTGTCCTTGCTTCTCTCTGTCATGCTTAGAATTCGTTTGTTTCCTCGTAGATAGTCCATACTTTTATGGTGGAATTGCAAAAGGTAGCTGAGGATCTGCCATATGTAACAAGATAAATGAATTCACAACAACAATTAAGGAGTACTTGATTGTTGAAGATCTGTCAGATGTACTGCTCGTAACCTGGCCACAAATGTTACCCTTTTCTTTACCACCTTGTTTCAGTTTTTAGATAAGCCTGCAATGTGTTTCATCAACCTAAACCTTGTTTCTCCATTCTGTATGTTTTCCCAGGTCGATATCACCAAAACTGGTATTACAAACTTTACAGGCCCTGAAGGACCATTTGATGTTGAGGTTTTTGATTCAACAAGTGACTATACTAAATTGATGAAAAGACTTTTTTACAACTTTATCTTACGCTCTGCATTTATGCAAAGAAGTTTTACGCAAGAGGATTTATTTATATCATGTCATGATGCCAATTGACCTGCAAAACTGGAGAACATTGAAGGAAGAAAATGTTTAAATTGGTCAAACTGCAAAAGTGTTTTAATAGATTTTCCTGCCTTTTTCCATCTGGAGTATTCAGTTTAGAGTCGCATATGAGGCAGTTCTTCTTACTACAAGCAATCTTGATTTTAATAGATAATCAAATGTTATATGTTCACTAGTGCTTCCACTGATTGAATCCTTTCTTACTCCATGATTGAAATTTCGCAGGTCAATTTTGATTTTGAATCTATGAGGAAACAGCTGTCATCTCCTAAATTCACATTCTAGTATATTCTAGTCTATGAGGAGGTGCGCGGAGGAGAAAGAAGAAGAGAGGTGCGCGGAGGAGAAAGAAGAAGAGAGGTGCGCGTGTGGAGGAAAAACAAGAAGAGAGGTGAGCGGAGGAGGAGGATGAAGAGAGGTGTGGGTGCGGAGGAAAAAAAAGAAGAGAGGTGCATGAAGGAAAAAGAAGAAGATAGGTGCAAATAAGGGTAATTTAGGGATTTCATATATTTAAAAAAAAGGGGGTGTATTTATATAAAAATGGAGGTGTGTTTATCACCAACCTATTTTTTATTCCACAGGCCCATATGGTTGATTACTTTTAGGCCTTATTTTTTAGCTCACAAGAATGTGGTTTTAGATACCTACCGTCTTATCCTTGTTACATGTTTGAGGATGAGCTTTTTTTGTTAGACCAGTGCAATTTTATAAACCATGTACCATAAAATAATTATTTATTAATTTGGAGTTATTTTTATCATCTGATATTATCCTTATTAACAGAAGAAAAAAACACAGACCGTATCTGTATTCAAAAAAGAAAAAATTATTATTATTTACTAATAGTTATTAATAAGAAGTTCTATTTTAGAGTAAAATGAATGAATGTGCAAACTAAAAAGAAATTCTTTCTGCATGCAAGGATTTCGGCCTTGTTACATGGTTTTTGCTTTTTGTTGCGAAACTTACGATGCTGTCCCATGAGTCCATCCATGACCATGAGTCCATGACATGCAAAATTAAAAAAAAAAAATAAATAAACTTCTATGGTACCTTCAATTATTGAGGAATTTTGGTACTGTAAGTGATGTGCAGCTGTGTCACTATTTAAAATCCACGTCAATTTTTAGCTTTTGTAACTGTTCACGTTTTTTTTCCCCTTTTTTTCTGGCTTCACTTCCTCACGTCCTCGTTTTTCTCTCTCTCTCTTTTGTCTTCTGTTATCTCTTACTTTCTCAATTGGTTTAAAATATTGGTTTTCCCCTTCTAGTTTTAATTTTAACCAATTAGCATATTTTCTTAAATTAATAGTGTTGAATTTGCCCGAATATGATATTAGCCATGTGTTCCTTTTACAAATCTCAGTATCTAGTTCCCTATTTTTGATCATATTATAGTTTACGGTTTTGAAATTTAAGTTTTAGGATTTATTGAATTTTTTTATATTAGAATTATCTTCTATAAAAAATGAATTAAAAAATTCGTTAATATTCTAGTAATTTTATTTTTTTAACTGACATATAACAAATTTTTTATTTAAAAATATCATAAAAAATTTGTTGAAAGCTGAAATATTTAAATTTAGAGATAATTTCTTAAATAAAAAGGTTAAAATTAAAAATAAATGTTACTTAAAAAATAATTAATTAATCCAAAATTTTCTACAAATACTATATAAAGAAAAGTTAAAAATAAAAAATGGCTGATGAGGGAAACCTGAAAAACTAAAAACTCAGAACTAAATTGAGAGAGTGAACAGAAAAAAAAAAGGGAAAAATCAAGAAATGAGAAAGTGAATTAGAAAGATACTGAACAGTTATAAAAATTTAAAAAGTGACGAGGATTTCAAATAATGACACATAAATTAAATATCACTTATAGTATTAAAACCCTTCTTTTATAGAAGGTTCAGTAGTAATGCCCTTTAAAATTTTCAATATAAGTTAACAAGTTTATAAAAAAAAATGTTAATACTATAATTTTTAATTTTTAATTTATTAAAATACTTTTAATACTATACTTTGTTTTAAATACTATAATTTACTTACACGCTTATAATGTATTCTTAACATATTACTTTTAGTGTTATTTTTATATTTCAATTTATTAATTTTGACTAATTATAATATTTTAATATATCACAAAATATGATTTTCTTTTTAAAGGCAAAAAATAATATATTAAAATTAAAGTGTCTAAATATATTATACCTTTTTAAAAATATAATGTTAAAAGTAAATTAGTGAATTGAAAAATAATAAATTTTTAAAATCAATAAAAATCATTTTTCTTAATATATTAAGAATTAACAATAAATTATAAAATTAAACTATGTGTAATTTTCTTATTTACACAGAATTATAAATGCGTTGATTAATTCATGCATATAAAATAATTTAATTATTTTGATTAAAAATATTCTTTACCTTAATTATCTTAATATTCTTCATTTGTTTAGTTATATTAATACAAAACTAACTATACTTAAGATAGAAACT